ATGCTACGAGCCAACTTAAGACAAGTTGATTTAATTGTACCCAAGTAGAAAATTTTGGGTTAGGAATTCTCTTACTGTTATTAGTAGGATCCTAAATCTCTTCCAGAGGAGGCTTGGCCGATCCATCAATTAGTCCCATTATCTTGTGAGCTTGAAGTCTTGGTAGTAGTTGAGCTTTCTAGAGAAGAAAGTTTTCCCCCATTGAGCTTGATTGTCAGATAATGGGAGATGGTGGGAATGGAGCTGACATTCATTGGCGTTGAAGGACTCTAAGAAAAGGTTGAGCTTGAGCTCATTGCTTCAGATACATTGTAGTGTTGAAAGCCATGGATGGATTGCAAAGACTTGGCTCTGATACCAAGTTAAAGTCTAATGAAGAGAGAAAATAATTCTAAAGGAATGGGTCCAATTCCATTAACATTGATTTGATTGTACAAAGGTATTATATACAAAACAATGGTGAATAAATCTTGAAAATAATTACAAGAATAGCAACATGCAATCAAGGTAATTAGCCTAGCTAAGAAACTTCCTAATGAGAAAGTTTCCTTTTCATTCTAGCCGGTCTCTCTATAGTAAATACTCCATCTTTGTAGGAAATCCTCTAGCTGGTCTCTGTATAGTAACTGCTCCATCTTTGATAGGAGCTCATTCTAGAGTAACAACTTCTTTTTGGTAGGAGAACTAGGGCTGGTCGATCCCTCAATATCCTCAATACTAACCTAAGTCAGCAAGTCCTAAACCATTAACCATTAACCCAAGACCAACCTAAGACATAAGTCACCTAACCTAAGTTGGCGGCAAGACCCAATCTATTGTCTATTGTCAAAGCTCAAGAGTTAGCTTAAGTGCCAAAGGTTGGTTACATACATTTGCTCCGGCGAACTGAACGTTCTTTTCCAGCAAAATGAACCTCTTTCTATGGCGAAGTACAAATTTTCTCAGGTAAGATTATTCATTCTTTTTTTTTTCATATTTTTTATTTACTTTTTCTTTTCCTCTATATTCTTGGCCACTTGCTGGCCATTAGTTTCCTCTTTTTTTCGCTTTAGAAACAGAATCCTTGCTTTCCATCACTGCTCCGTTCATTGAGTTGTATTGGTACTACGTGATGAAAACCAACAATAGTCGTCGGTTGAAAACCAGCGATGGCCGTTTCCTCTTTTTTATTTACTTTCGATTCTTTAAGCCTTTGAAACTCTGGGGTTCAAACTTGTTTGTATGGCACATTTACCATTGATGCATCTTAAAAATCAGAAAATTTAGTTCATCACAACTTAATTTTTGAGGAGACTAACATTGTCATCATTAAACATGATGAATAATAGTCAAGAATTTACATCATGTAAGAAGATAAATATCTTATTTAAGATTTTGAGGACCTAAAATCTTGAGAAACTCTCTATGTTATAAAAGAATTGTTTGTATAAAGAAATATTGAATTGAGAGATAATTCAAAAAAAGCCGGTGGTCTTCTATTTCGGTTAAAACCAAAATAATGTTCGGTTCAGTTTTAAACCGAACAAACCAAATTCTAACCCTTAGTCAAAACACCTTATCATTTATCTTGTATTAAAAACACCTGCAAAGAGTTGTGACATAATCTTATGAAAAAAACATCCATCCATATTTATCACATACTCACCATTCACAAACAGCTTTGACAAATTCTTAGGAAGAAAAACAACTTTCCATGTTCATCATATATTCACCATTCACAAAAAGTTTTCACCTGTAGTTTAGTTCCATACACAAAACTAACTCCTGTCCTATACAACGTGTGTTTACTTCCACACACAAAAGATTTACAAATACAAGTAGTTCAGTTTCAACCCCTGCCAAAAAAAAAAAACAAATATCCATCTCCTCCTTCACAAAAACAAGGAAGACCAAAAAAGACACAATAACAATCGATCTGTGATCTCATCTTCCACTCTTCAAGAGACAAAAAAAACAGAAGTGCCAATTGCAGCCATTATCCACAAAAGCTCTGTTGCAAGAAGTGTCTGTGTACCGATTTTTATCCATTAGATCCCTGTTTCAACCACCAAACAATCAGTTGGAAATGCATTATGCTAATGAGGAACCATGCATATACATGTTTCATGAAGTTATAAAGATTATTGAACTGACTAATATAATTATTTCAGCATGTTGTGACTCATGACCTTCAAGAGTGTAAGGCTGAGAGAGAGTGTGTGAGAGAGATCAAGGGAAAGGCTGAAAGAAATTGAGGGTTCAGAGAGAGTGTGAGGGAAGGCTAGTTAGAGAGAGAGAGAGAGAGAGGGTTCAGAGGGTGAGAGTGTGAGCGATGGTCTGTTAGAGAGAGAAAGGGTTCAGAGTGTGAGAATGTGAGGGAGGGTCTGCTAGAGAGAGAGAAAGAGGGTGAGGGAGAGTGGTAGAGATTGATAGAGAGTTCAGAGGGTGAGAGGGTGTGAGGGTCTGAGGGAGAGTCTATTAGAGATAGGGAGGGTTCAGATGGTGAGATATGGTTCAAGAGAGTGTAAGGCTGAGAGAGAGATTGAGGGTTCAAAGAGAATGTCAGGGATAGTCTGTTAGAGAGAGAGAGAGGGTTCAAAGGATGAGAGTGTGAAAGGGTCTGCTAGAGAAAGAGAGAGAGGGGGTGTAGAGGGTGAGAATGCTCAGTTAATCGTTGGCTATGAAAGTGTTCTCTGGCGACGTTTACTCAAACAATCACACTAGCGGCGACCACTGCAACCTCAAAACAAAGCCACGTTTTGAGTGAACGATGCGCCTCTCCAATGCATAAACCCTTTTTTAGATGAAGGCAGTTTTGTCTTTTTTCTAAAAAATCTCTATCTCTATTCCTCGGAATATGAAGGGTAATTCAGTCATTCCACTTGGCCATTGATGGTCAACTAACAATAGGGACCTACTAGACACAAATTGAAAGTTCAGGATACTGCAGAGACATGTTTAAAAATTCGAGGACTGACTAGACAAAACCCCCAAGTTCAAGATATTGTTCATGAATTTTCCCTAATTAAATTAAGCAACATATCTTCTCACATGCCTTGCATGTGACTGGCGTATATATACCAATTCCCGAGTCTGGACACCTTGGAAAGCTTTCCTGCCACTCCCTGATGTTAAGTTGTTCCAAACTTCTGTGTCAGCTTTACCAAAAAAGGCCACTATCAATAAGGCCTTTTCGATAAGTTATTTATCTAAGTAAATGCAATTATCCAAGTAAGCTTTTCCTGGGAAACACTTACCCGGGTAAGTGCATTTACCCATGTTCTTTTATTTCTCATTTAAATAAGGCAATGACTATTTTAGCCATAAAAATCCATTATTAAAAGGGGTATTTTTGTCCCATTCAAGTGTTGGCAACTTTCCCCCTAGGTGGGAACCCACCTAGGAGATTGGTATCACTTACCCAGGAAAATAAACTTTCCCTAGTCCTCATATAAATCTGGAAAAAGAACATGGGATTCTTGGTCAATGGGAACCAAAATCCCATTGACCAACTTTCCCCCCTCTCAAAATCCAAAAAAAGAACGCCCCCTAAATGGTAGAGAATGAATGGCAATATTTCTTTTTGTTATCCTGATTTCAGTAATTTGTTATCACTACGGGATGTCTACAACAGTGTTTTTGTTTTCATTTGTTTTTATAATCGTCACATCTTTAAAAACATAAAAATACATGTTTTCGAACTTTTTTTTTCAAAATATAAGTTAGATTTGTTTCAAAATAAAACAACCCATGTTTTTATATTCAACGAAATATTGATTTTTAAAACAAAAATAATTTTTTTAATATAGAAATTATATGATTTATAGAACATTAAATTGAATAATTAAATGAAAAAAAAATTATTTTTTAATCCAGATTTAAGAAAATGTTTTTAGTTTCAATTTTGAAAACAAAAAATAGATAAACAAACAAACACATGTTTCTTGTGTTTTTGTTTAAGAAACAATCTGTTTTCAAACAAGATGGTTTTGATTTGTTTTTAGAACCAATAACAAGAAGATGGTTTTGATTTGTTTTAGAATCAATAACAATAAAAACAAGAAAATGGTTTTGAGTTGTTTTTAGAACCAACAAAAAAAGCAATTCACATTGTAGTTCACCCCGACATTGAGCTTGGCAATTCTAACTCTGAGATTTGTGAGATAGTCTCCATCCAAATTACACCTTTAATTTACACATAGAAGATATTGGTATGGTAGATTCTCTGTGCCAACCATATTGTTAGCTTGAAGATTCCATTTGGGAACCACCTTCACAAAAACTGAGATAAAATATAATATTATGACATTATTCTTTAGTTGAACCTTTTTAAGCAGGGAGATTCATCCTCAGTTTTCAAAAACTTGCTGGAAAAGCCGAAAAAGGTGAACGAGAGGGAGATCATCTCATAATGCTCTTTTTTTATAGGCCCTCTCTAGAGCAAGGTTCTAAACATCTATATGCCCTTACCGGGTATCAGGTATCGGTACTTTTTTATATTTTAGTTTTTTTTTTTTTTCAAATCCGGTTCAGTAGGGCCAGTTTAAGGTTCATCCACCCCTGAACTGGTCAAAACCCCCCGATACACCCTCTGTAAGGGCATATCGGATTGCTCCTGATACAATACGTATCAGCTGATACGAGCCAATACGTATCGATTTTTTAAACCTTCCTCTAGATTCAGTTGCCACTTACCAGCAGCGAAAAAGAGCTAAATGGATACAGATATTAAAGGAAGAGTAAAAAACAAGGTTTTAAATATCGATACGTTGGTAGAGACATGTCGGGCAGTATCAATACTTATTTTTTTCAAATCCGGTTCAGGGGAGCCGGTTCAAGGTTTGCCCACCCCCTAAACCAGTCAAAACCCCGATACACCCTCTACAGGGGTGTATCGGGGTGCTCCCGATACGATACATATCGGCCAATTTTTGAACCTTGGGAAAAAAGTATCAAGAGTTAAAACTTAAAAGGCATTCATGACTTTAAAATTCTTGGTAATCGAGCAGAACAAAGATGTAACAAGTTAATAATATATAGAAACAAAGAAGGCCGGGTTTCAAATATGTCAAGCTTTCAAAGATGTAACAAGTTAATATAGAAGAAAGCAAAGCAACGAAACATCACGGGCCAACGCATCTGTAGCAACCGTTAACTGTGTAATAGAAGAGTACATACACGCCACATGAAGGTGGCAACAGAACAAAAACACATCACTACAACACAATAATAGGTAAACAGGACAGCACCGGGAAAATATGGGTCGAATTCACCCAACCCTTGAATTTCCAGAACCTGGGGCGGGTTGCAAACATTGAAAGTTCCTCACAAACATACAGACTGGATCAAGCTGTGCATTATGAACAAGTCACTGTGATAGATGGAGGACGACTGGCAGTAGTCATGTTTTGACCTACTTCCCACCAGACTGCCTAATAGTTATATAATAATCAGCCTCCAAACCTCCCCCAACCTTCGCATGCCCACCAGGCCCAGAAGCGTGTATTGAACTTTTGTCATGGAAGGTGTTTAACCATGAAAGGGAACACAATCACATTGCATAGACTATCTCTCCACTGCTGTCAACATCGAGGTCGGGATCACTGTCCAGGTCATCCATGTCATCATCAAGGTCCTGGCAGCCAGAAAAAAACTGGTCGAGAATACGGGTTCCAGCTGCAGGTATTGTAGCCTCAGCTATGATCTGCATGATTTGATCATTACTTTGCATTGGCTGATCAGGCTCTTCAAACTGGTTGTTCATCATGTTTTCATCCATGAGGTCTGCAGGTAGGTTCTTCAGAAACCATTCATGGTTTCTTATCTCAGGAATGGTTATTCTCTGTTACAGGTTATATTGAAAAGCATGAGAATCTCCAACAGTTAAAGCAGCAATATCATCAAGAGCTGAACTTGTAAAGAGGAAGTTGCCATTTCACCAAACTTTGACAAGAAAGCAAAGATACAAGTACTCTTAAAGAAGTTGTAAACATGATCTAGAAATAACATAGAGATGAAAAGTTTATCAATGAAGCATACAGACAGGAAGTTGTAATAACAGCATTTGCTTGCGGCTACTGAGCAAAACACATTGGCAACATCTGCTCAATCGCTGCAAAAATACCAGTAAAATTTACTGTCCACAAGAATACTGCCCTTCCTTTCCAAGCCAGAATGCTGGAACAAACCTTGCTAATGATTCTTGAATTTGAATTTTCTCCTTGGGGTTCAGATATATAGTGTCTAAAGCCAGGGCTATAGGTCTAGGTCTATTCTGTGTACTTCCTAACATAATTTGTGAATAATTCCTAGAGAAGAACCTCACATTTGCAACAAAGAATATACAACTTACAGTTCCAGGGTTAGCATCAAAAATCCTCGAGATAAGTTCGCGACACTCATCAGAAATGTGAACATAGTCTGGGATAGAATATTGAACACTCGAAATGCGCTGTAAAAGTCAGAAACATGACATAATTAATTTGTTTTACCTCATATAAGCTGTAACAATAAGGTGCAACCAAGTACCTGTATTGTCTTACAGAAGTTCTTGGGGTCCTCAGGGTCTTCAAAAGGGTATGCACCAACAAGCATGACGTAAAGTGTGACCCCACATGACCAAACATCTGCAATCTGCAATTGTTCAAATGATGAGAACAATGTCTATGTGAACATGCAAAAAACACAAACATGTAGAACAAGAAGTAATATCCTACTAAGAAATAAGTTGCAGGTAAAGAAGAAGGAAAGTTTCTAAAAGATACGAGTACAGATCACAAATAGATAAAGAAAAAGAAGAGATTACACATTTAAGCATTTTTTGTTTGAAAGAAAAGGTAGGGAGCCCTTTCTTTCCCTACCTTTTTCTTTCAAACCAAACACAGCCTTAGAAGAAAATAGAGAGAAAAAGACAGGGAAAACCCACCCCACAATATTCAAACTCTAATTTATTATTTCACTGATTCAATATGCAAAATAAGGATCAACCATCTCTAGAATAGAACTAGGTCCAGCCATCACTTTCCAGACTCCAACTTTATGAAGAAACTAACCTAAAAAAACTTCTAATTGTTTCAAAACTAAGACAAACCATTGAGACACTCAAATAAGGACTTAGACATCCAAAGTAACTCAGAATCCTCTACCAATTCTACTACAACCAAACAAACCACCAAAATCCAGTTCTAAGATAAACCCCAAAAAATAGACTCAAATCCCATTGTAGCCTGGCATCTTGTCAGCAAAAAACTATTATAACTCCCAAAACAAGTTTTTGTGTTTTTTGACCAACTCCCAAAACAGCTTTTTTTTTCGCAACCAACTCTCAGAACAGTTGGCTTTATGAAATATTGGTCTTGTTGAATATATAACTTTTTTAGAGGAATGTTGAATATATTACTCAATAACCTATCTAATGACACTAAAACCAATCAAAACGGATAAAGTTAATCCCCTACAGTGTAGAACTAAAGTAACATTACAACTCTGACTTTGCCATAATATGATGCTTTAAATTATGTTCACCTCTTAATACAATTAAACCTATTATTCCTACAACAACAACAAAATTACTATCATAAAGCCTCAAATTGACAAAGCTGGATCACCCAAAATCTATGAAATTGACACTAAAAAGGGATTTTCTTTCCTTTCTTCAGTGTTTATGAAAGAGAGGGAAGGAGGGTCATATGCATTTAGTTGTATAGTACTGTCTATGAATGAGCTCCAAGCAACTCCTTGATCTAGCTAGAAACCAGAATAACAATAATGGTTTAAACCAACAATTTAATTCTAAAAAACACTAATAAAATGTAACCAAATATGAGCCATAGAATTTGTATGGATTAGATAAAAACAGATAGCATCAATTACAGTTATGTAACAACTGTTGTTTTCCTAAGTAAAACGAAGACAGTAGCATGGCTCATAGAATATGTGATGGAGGGTAGGCTTGTCAGTTGAGACGCATGCCATGAAATGCGCCTCACCTTTGTACCTAGGCATTCTTGTAGTCACCCTTTAAAAACATTGTTTTGGACAACATCCTGCCACACCAAATATGCCTCTCACCCAGGTCTAGAAATTCTTTTAGAAACTACAATGCAAGAACACATGTTTAACTAATTCCTCGAGCCCCATTACACAGTATGCATATGCTGCTGTTCACTGCCATACCTCTCCTATAGAAATTGTCCCTTGTCAGACACTTAATTAAAGCAACTATCCATACAAGGAAAGCCACCTTGAGGAAGGTGCAAAGCACCATATTTTAGAAGCTGGAAAATTGGTTGTATCTGTAGCCAACAACTTTTTGTATAAAGACCTCGCTGTGAAAAATTCAGACCTCCCATTTCCATATTTTACTTAGTTTTATGGTCATTCGATTTATAAGTTTTAAGTTGAAGAGTGTTTAGGAGGAATTAGATTAGGGAAATTAGACTGTATGAGGTCCATAATATTGTTGTAATTAGAATAGCAAGACAGAATACAACCTTGGCTTTTGGATATTTTTTTCAGTGTGATTGCCAAGTAGCTTCTCTTTCTTGGTGTGTATACAAAGTTCATACTTGCTTAGTGAAAAGGTGTTCGTGTCTTCTAACTCACCTATTAAAGTGCTTGTTTCTCTGCATGGAAATTCACATCACATGTTTATATGAGCTTTTCAGCGAAAATGTCAAAAATACCATTCTATTGAAAAAATTCAGCAATGCTTGAATGTTCTGTGGACTATTTTGAAAAAATATGGGAGCAACAATATGGGACTTTGCTATTTTCAAATATACATAGAGTATACTTATATCCTATATAGCATAAATAATTAATATAGAAACATACACAGTTAGGTGTCAGAAAACTCAATTCTTTTAGGGACCATTTGATAACTGGTGAAGGTGAAGTAGATGAACAGAAAAGCTTATTGCTTTGTCTTAAAGTGAATAAGATTTTAAGGAGGTTGTGGGCTCCTTAGTGGCTAAAGCTTAAGTTATATTACTATACCTTTGATTATTTTGTTAGTTAACTATTTTATCCATTAAAAGACAAAATAATAAGTCTTTTAGTTCAGCAACTTCAGCTGTTATCAAACAGTCCCTAAATCATAAACATAAATGCACTCCTAATATCAGGTTCTTTAATGTGATTTTCATTCTCAGAACCAAATTATTCAAAAACATCCCCTGCAATATTTGCCAGATCTCTAGCAATGTTCTGACTGTTTCTGACCCAAGCTTTTTCAAGCAACCAAAGAGGCATGGTAGAGTGATGTGGAGAGCCACAGGAGCAGCTATACTCTAGTCAGTCTGGGAAGAAAGAAATAACAGGATCTTTAAAGGAGTGGAGAAATCCAAGGAGGCAACTATAGAACAACCATTATGACTATCCATTGGTTGAAAACTCTTGATTTGTTTAAAGATTTTTCAGCTGAGGACATATTTAGGAATTGGGGAAGGTGGCAGCTACAACATCTATAAAACCTATTGTGCAGAAAATGTGGTCCCCTCCAACACAACAAAAAATAAAGTTGAACTTTGATGGGAACTCTAGACGTAATCCGTGGCCTTCAGGTATAGGGGGATTATTCAGAGATGGAGATGGGAGAATTGTTGCTATGTTCTCTGGGCCAATAGGGGTGAGAGACTCATTGCAAGCAGAAGTGATGGTTCTGCTTCAAGGTGTAAAATATGCCAAGCAATTGGGATTACACCAAGTGGAGATAGAAGGAGATTCTAAATTGTTAATGTTCTGACTATTTCTGAGTCTATCTTAATCCTACATAGAGTAGAAAAAGAAACACTTAGAAAAATCATATTCTAAGACCCTTCAGTTTAGCAAAGATGAAGCACATAGGTGGAGAACATGGATAACCAGTCCATTAGCAGATATGCTCATTAACTAATTTAATAGAGAACTATCTCAGCCATCTGAGAATTGATTATACAAATCTAGCTCCACCAATCCAATGTGTCTTAGGGCCATACCTTTTTTTTTTTTTTTTGATAAATAAGGGCCATACCTTAATATGACAGCATTTTTCTTTGTTTAAAATATAACATTTGTTTTAACTGTAACATTTAAAAATTGCAATAAAACAGAGGAATAAAAATATAGCACAACAATGGATAAGAAAAGTTACAGGGGCCATTGTTTAGTGCAATTGTAAAATCTCAAACTGACAAGTATGAGAATACAGGGTTGAGTCTGAGAATGACCATTTTGTGCATGCCAAAGGTTACTATTGGAGGAGGAAGTTAGTGGATTTGGAGGTATTGGGGTAGAGGAGCAGTGGATTTAAGGGTGGGATGAGAGGAATGCAAAGAAGTGGAGATAGTGGTTGAAGAGAGTAGGGAGGTCAGGGAGTTGTTGAAAGGTGGAATGGAGAATAGAAGAGATTAATAAAGGAGTAAAATTTAGATGAAATTGATGCCTTGGTTCTTTATGGAAGCTATTAAACTTTCTTGGAGAGAATTGAATAGAGAAAAAAAATGACCAAAGTCAACTGATTTTTTCAATTTTAGATGTGACTGTTTTTAATGGTGCGGTTGGGATCCTGTTGTTTGAATATTGTGGTTAAATATTTTGAGTTACTTGGAGGAAGAGAATCAGAAATATCTTCTACGGCAGTCGCAAGGTAGTATGTGGATTGTGGTTATTGATGTTTCTTTGCTGTTGATTCCGCTGTTGGTGCATCCAGATTTTCAAGTTTTAGATTGTGTAGCTGTTGGTTGTTGTGTTATCAGGTATAACTTTATTTGTGTAGTATGTTACTGTCACTTGTATTGCTTATTGTGTTATCAGGTACAGCTTTATTTGTTTTCATTTTCAAGTGATATCTATCTTGTCATCTTCTCTTAGACCCTTTGGTTATTTTAATAACTTTTATATTTTTATAAGAAAATACATCAAGGAGACGAATTGTGTATCTGAATATGAATATGCCACAGTGCATATTTAACTTGAGAATTAAACAAACTACACATTGTGGACACATTAATGTGCCACAGATCATAGAGGTTATTGCATCAAGTAACCTTTTTTGATTACTGCATCCTGAAATTCAAGGTTATTTTAGCCAATAAAATTAAAGGACAATATTGTAGTAGGATTTTCCCATAAGGCTCAGTATGGAAGGAGTACAAATGCAAATATGTAGAGTGCAAAACATTATATTTTGTATGTAGTTCCACTGTACATATTTGCATTTGTACTCTTTCCAAACTAAGACTAAGAGGCAACGATCTGTTGCAAGTTGAAGGGGCTAGAAGGGCTGGTGCAAACCAAAAATTACATGAGTTGAAGTAGTAAAAAATGATTTAAGTATTCATAATTTAACAACAGAACAGAATGGAAAAACAGGATTCATGTAGCCGACCCCATATAGTTAGAACAAGGCTTAGATGATGATGATGATCATCATTGTAGTAGGACTATTTTCAAAGCAGAACCAATATAGAGTATACTTGAAAGTTTTAATAAAAACATAGATAGTAGAAGTTAGAAGAAACATGCAAATATAATAAGCTGCACAAGTAAAAAACAATGTTACCTTGCCATCATACTCTTTCTTAAGTAATACTTCGGGAGCAATGTATGCTGGTGTTCCAACAGTTGATTTTGGTTGTGAATGAAGCACTGATGACTGAAAAGAGCAACCACAGTTAGAAATGTGAAGATATTGCTTGATCTTGGCTAGCTTAATTCATCATCATGATCACAAGAGTTTGGCAAAAGTTAGTGCCAGCTGCCAACCTGACACAACCTCCTCCATCCATGCTTGGGGCCAGCAGTGTAAGAGACGTAATAATATTAAATAAACAAATAACAGAATGTCCTAAAGGATCTTTTGTTGTACTTCAGTGGGTAGGTGAACATCACGTAGCAATTACATTCAGTTTTACTTTCCTTTTGATTCATCTCTCTATTCTTTTTCTCTTTAAATAAATTCTTATTGATAGTTTATCATTAAAAAAAGGAACTGTTCATAAGGTCAAGAATATTTTTCTTAACCAATAATTGGCAATAGGCCGTGGAATCTTCGCTATTACGTAGTTGTCAAGGGCCAAGACAATGCCTAGGCGACAAGGCACTGATGGAGGACCGCCTCACTTTATCACCTACCTATCTTGTACATACAGCTGTGAAACACTTTTATATTCTTTATTATTTTTCTTGAGATTATAATAATATAATAGGCATTATTAGCCTAAAATATTCATTTCATGGGTTTACATACTAGTTTCTTTTGCTTTCAAAACCTGAACCAGCAAGCAAGAACTTTAAAATTTTGTCAAATCAGTATGAGAGAGAGCAGTTTAGGGTTGAATATTGGGTGTGTTGTCTATCTCACACGCCCAAGAACTATATTTATATTAGATTGATACAAGACAATGAAATGACAAACCTGTCCTTCCTAAGTAACAAAGAAAGAAAAAGAACAAATACATTACATATGGTACAATATATATGATAACCATACTCCCAAGCTTATGATACACAATCTCTACCCCCCCCTCCCTCAAACTAATGCCGGCCGAGAGGTAAGCATCAGTTGTCAACTAAAAATTGATGACGAGCTCATATCATAGCCTTGGTGAAAAGGTCAGCTAGTTGGAGACTGGAGGAGACATGAGAAATATGTTCCCAGCAAGAAATTGGTCTCTGATGAAGCGACAATCGACCTATATGTGTTTGGTGTGCTCATGGAAGACTGGATTAGAGACGATCTTGATGGCACTAACATGCATGGAAAGGAATTGGGGATGGCATATCCATAGAAAGACCATGAAGAAGAGCACAGAGCCATATTAGCTCACTGCACGCAGACAACATAGCCCGATATCTGGCTTCTGTGGAGGATTTAGAAACAGTCTATTGCTTCTTACACTTCCATGAAATGAGGGAATCTCCTAGGAAAATGCACCACATAGTAGTGGACCTTCTAGTGTTAGGGCATCCTACCCAATCAGCATCAACATATGTAGTCAAGTGAAAAGGGGATGAAGAAGATAAACAGTCCATGAGATAAGGAACCCCGTATATAACAAATGATCCATAGAATAGCTGTCATGTGAGGATGTCTGGGACAGGAGAAAAACTAGCTAACTTGGACAGCATAGGAAATGTCCAGACTGGACATAGTGAGAAAAATGAGACTACCAACAAGTTGTCTATACAGAGTAGCATCAGGTAGAGGTTCACCATCATCCTTGGACAGCTCCAGATTAACTTCAATAGGAGTATCAACTTGCTTGTCATCGGTCAAATAGGCAAGCTTCACTAGATCTGTGGCATACTTTTGTTGATTTATAAGGTATCCACAAGAAGAGTGAAAGACTGCTAAACCGAGAAAATATGTGAGGTTCCCAAGATCCTTCACCTTAAAAGATTGACATGAAGGATTTTCAAAAGAACAATTCCTTTAGTATCATCCCTTGTAACAAGAATGCCATCAACATATAGTAGTGTAAGACCTTGAGGCCACTTCATATGAAATAATAAATAGTAGTCATAAGGGCCCTAAGAAAATCCAGCATCAATAATAACCTTACAGAACCTTTCAAACGAGGCTCGGGGCACTTGCTTGAGGCCATATAAGGATCTCTTGAGGCAACAAACTAGATTAGGATCACCACAATAACCAGGTGGAGGTTTCATAGAGACTGTTTCCTTCAGCTGACCATACAAGAAGGCATTTTAAACATCCATCTGGTGAATGTTCCAATGTTTAATAACAAAAAATAGTCAAAACCAAACGAACAGTTGTCATCTTGGCTACAAGAGCAAATGTCACTTCATAGTCTACCCATATTCTTGCTTATATCTCTAAGCCACTAAACGAGACTTGCATCTCTCAAGGCTCCCATTAGAATTCAGCTTTACTGAGTAAACCCATTTACTACCAATAATTGAAACATTTAGAGGGACAAGAACAAGCTCCCACATTCCCAAGTATCATTTTTCAAGAAGAGGCTAATCTCAATGTCCATAGCTTCTTTCCAATGCAGAATAGCCACAGCCTATTGGTAAGTTCGGGGAATATCTATGGAGGACAAAACTGTAGAAAAGGAACTATGGTCTATAGGAAAACAATAGCGGTTAGAAGGTCGGGAAACATGAGTTGATCTACGTAGAGGAGGGGATGATGGTAAAGAATCACAAGGTGGAAGAGGTGGAGCACTTATAGTGTCAGACGGAAGATGTGATGGACTAGCAACTAGAGGTGAAGAAGAGGAGAGGATAGGCTAAGGAACAGAAACTCACCTTCTTGCATAAAGCTGGAGAAGCATACACATAGATGGATGTGAGCATGAAGCACCTAAAATATCAAAGGAATGCACAACATAGAGAGTAGTAGGAAGTTTGACAATATGATGGAAGAAAGAAACATTCTCAAGAAAGATAACATTCCAGGAAATGCAAATGAAACAAAAAGTTGGATCATAGCAAAGGAACCCTTTATGTTCTAAACTGTACCCCATGAAAGCACATAAGACAAATTGACCTCTGACCATTGACCTATAGTGATATGCAAGGAGGAAATGAGGAATGGTGGACCTGCCCCCTTTAGGTTTGAGAATATGTGGTTGCTCCATCCTAGATTCACAGTGGTGGTACGAGTGCAATCCAATGGTGGAGTGGGAAGGAATGAGGTTCTATAGAAAGCTACAATTCTTGAAAGCAAAGATCAAGGAGTGGAACCAATTGGAGTTTGGAAGGCTTGAAGAAAGGAAGAGAACCTTGATGGACAAGATTGAGAGCCTTGACTTGAAAGAAGAAAGGGGAGACTTTCGAGAGGCAAACAAGGAACAAAGAAGAGATTTGAGAAGTCAACTTGAGGACTGCCTACATAAGGAGGAAATTAGCTGGAGGCAAAAATCTAGATGTAAATGGCTACAAGGAAATAGAAATACCAGATTCTTTCATTCTCTGGCAAATGGGAGGAGGAGAAACTGTCTCCAAACTGGAGATAGATGGAGTTGAGTTAACACAACAGGATGAGATTGCAGGAGCCTTTGTGGGACACTTCAAATCAATTCTAAGAAGGCCTGTAAGTAGGAGGGTATGGTTAGAAGGTTTGATTTGGAAGAGATTAAAGAGGTTGTTTTCTCTATGGATAGAACAAAAGCTCCAGGACCGGATGGTTTCACAATGGCTTTCTACCAAGACTGTTGGGATACAATGAAAGATGACCTTTTGTTGGTTTTTGAGGAATTTCATAGGAGAGGAGTGGTTAACCTGGGTGTGAATTCCACCTTTCTAGCCTTGATCCCAAAAAAGAAAGATGCACTGCGTCCAAAGGATTTCAGGCCAATTAGCTTGGTGAATAGCTTGTATAAGATCCTTGCAAAGGTGTTGTCTCTAAGGTTGAAGGAAGTGTTGCCAACTATTATCTCACCAAATCAAGGAACTTTTGTGAGTGGATGACAAATAATAGATCAAATTCTAATTGCTTGTGGAGCATTTCAAGAAAGATCGGAAGAAAGGAGTGGTCTGTAAGCTGGCTCTAGAAAAAGCCTATGACTTGGTGGAATGGGAATGTTTTAGGAAAGTTATGACCAATTTTGGATTTGGGGCTAGGTGGTGCAAATGGATTATGGGGTGTGTTTGTAATTGTCATTACTCGGTACCAGTGAATGAGACAGTGATTGACTTCTTCCCAGCCATTAGGGGTGTAAAAAAAAGGAGACCCCTTGTCTCCCTTCCTGTTCACACTGATTGCTGATGTTCTGGCGAAACCAATTTACAGAGTAGATTCTAGGGGTCTTATTAGAGGCTGGAGAGTTGGAAGGGAGGATACCCCCCCTCACCCATCTACAATTTGCAGATGGCACGATTCTATTATGTGAAGCAGAAATATGAAGTAAGGTGAGGTCAGGGAGATTGCAAAAATGCTTGGGTGTGAAGTCTCAAAGTGGCCTTTGAATTATTTGGGGTTACCATTGGGTGATAACCCAAAGAGAAAGAGCTTCTGGAATCTGGTGGTGGAAAGTTTTGAAAAGAAACTTGTCTCTTGAAAAAGGAATTACCTTTCTATGGGTGGGAGGATAACACTGATTAAGGCTACTCTAGTAAATTTACCTATTTATTTCCTTTCAGTGTTCAAGATCCCGGTAAAGGTTGCCAATAGATTGGAAAAGATGATGAGAGACTTCCTTTGGGAGCTGGGAGAGGAGAAAAGGGATCATAGAGTAGCTTGGGAGGTGGTGACTAGGAGTAAAAATAGTGGTGGTTTAGGGCTCGAGAACATTAAAAACAGGAATATGGCCCTTCTAGGAAATGGTTGTGGAAATTCCCACTAGAGAAGGAGAAGTTATGGGCCAAGATAGTGGTCAGCATACATGGGCTGGAGCTAAATGGATGGGATGCTAGAATCCAAGCTAGGACTACATGTGTTTCAACTTAGAAAGCCATTCATGAATTGTTACCAGTTTTCTCCCCTCTTATCAGGTATGACTTGAATTCAGGTAATGCTATAAAATTCTGAGAACAAACTTGGGTGGGGGATGCTCCTCTAAAGGACCAGTTTCCTTCTTTGTATGCACTCTCCAACCTTAAAAATGAGCTAGTTTCATCCTCCATATCCCCCTCCTCTTCCACTTCTAAGTTTGGGTGGAATTGGGGCGTAAGAAGGGCTGTGAG